AAGCAGTAAGCCCGAGCCACACTCGGGATTACACATCGCCACACTTACCTTGTCCACGATCCCCGCTGTGTCCTCCCGCCGATGCCGGCATCCGTCTTCCGGGCTCCGTCCCTTGCGAGTGTGCGCGTTGCAGGGGGGCGGAACCGGCGGCAAATTTAAACAGAAAAAATCAAACCGCCAGGGAGAAAAGAAAACAGCATAGACAACGTAAAGTAGTAGGGAACTTTTGGGATGGCTTTCATTATAATCTAAGTGATGCTCGCATTCTCCATTTCTTGTATGGATGCCACAAGGGCAGGATGTGAGGAAGACTTTCCCCAATGGAATCACAGGCAGAAATGAAAAAATTACAGAAATATTAACTCTTTCCTACTTTGTCCAAAGCAAAAAAACAATGGCAGGAGTTAATTATCAGTCTTTTGAGCAGTACCAAACTATAGCAATTTTTTTATACCGAAATATATAAATAAACTCCCACTTATGCAGTTTTGTGACATTTCATTTTGTAGGTGACCATTTCTGGTGGAGGTACATATGTATAAAGTTACACATATATACATATATATTTTATAACATATATGTACAGATAGCATGTACATTGTTATATTATTATTTAGTTAAAGTGTATGTAAATTCTAACAAGGAACCTATTTGCTCCCTTTTGATTAAATATAACATTGAGAGTGTTTTGTTTATATCTGTTTGGTAAGTCCTCTGTCTGGGGCCACTTCCTGTGTTGCCTCAAGGAGATGAATTTGTCCTCCAAATCCTTACCTTCTGACTACAGAATGATAGGCCTTTGTGTTTTAGAGATGGGAGAGTAGGTGGATCTGAGTAGTTTGACAAGAGAAAAGTGAACACTGTGTTGTCAGCTCACAAACTTAGGAGCCGAATGCATTTCTGGCAGATCAACAGGTACTTTTCTTTACTTACAGGGTCTTTAAATTGATAAAACATGAAATGTGTATTAATCTCATAGATGCACCGCATGTTTTTTTTAAAATTATTATTTTGACCTGTTATAAGCTTTAAAGAGACTCTGCTATGATAAAGATAAACAACTGCTGCAGTTCTAGAGGTAGACAAACCTGCTGCAGCCTCCAAACTCTTCCTGTCACAGCCAAATATTGGGCTCTTCCTGACACTACCAACGCAAGGGGGCATGGGACCTGAAAGTGCTGGAGTTTTTCCTGTCAGAGTGTCCGGGGGGACACTTGTCTTTTCCTGTCTTAGTGACAATGTTGTCACCAGGACAAAAGTGCAAGGAGGTTTCTCCAACAATGCACAATAGCAAGTTTAGGGAAAGACTAGAAACTCACTTTTTAATGCCGTCTGTGTCCCCATTGGGGAATTCTACTTGCTTCCTATTCCATGGCCACAGAAGGAAATGAAAACTTGACAGAGGGCCAAACCCTTCCCCAAAGTAATTGTAATTTTTTAACATACCTGTCCATCATTTTCTTTAACATACCTTGTCTCTTTGCCTATTCAGGCCAAAATGATTGCATCTATTACAATACCACCACTATCTCATTTATAATAACCTTCACCATGCTCCCCCATGTTCCTCTGTTGGAACAGTCACAGATATCTAACACTTTTAAAGATGGAGGAATAAGTGACCAGCTCCCAGAATGCAGTTCCCCCGGGGTGAGGAGCCAATTCCAAAACCCCAACACTGCCCCCTGATGAAGAAGACAACGTTATCAACCCTGTGTAAGTTAGAGGAATGGAGCAGCAAGAGAGTTTGGGGAATCTGAGTATAAGTGAGTTAGGGTGGGCTAATAAGAGACTCTATTGCTTTACCCTGAATAGGCAACAGAGTCTAGTTTTAGGTTGTTCTGCTCTATTTCTTTCCATTTTGGATGCTGTTAACAGATAGTTAATAGTGATGATTTTGGTACTGCTTCAATGCTGCTTTCACAATAACTGTAAAAGTAGGCATTTAGCAGCTGGTTCTGAAACTGCTAAACAACTGGGCAAATGTGTGGCTCAATAGACAAGTAGGTGGAAGGCATTGTGGCATTGTGCAACTGCCTGAATCTTTTTGGGAGCGTTTGGGTCCTTGCCATGTATTCAGTATGTGGAAACTTAAGTTGATGCATATGTGCATCCACACTCCACCAACATGAGTGCTGGATGCTTCCTAAG